AGCTATAAATAAGGACCTCTTGTATTGTATTGAACATACAATATCAATATATCATATTTTCTCCCGTGCCTTCTCACAGTTCCATTTTACTTGTTTTAGTAGTGTTGACTTGTTATTTCACATTGCATGTTGTTCATTTTTTAGTTAGAATTGATAGATCAGTTTTGTCAAACATGTGAATAATGTTATGGCATTATATTTATAAATATTAATTTATTTTATCAAACATGCATTTCATGATGTTCTTACAAAATGTATGTTTTTAGTTTTTATAATTAATTAAACTAAATATAATTAATTNACCTATTTGCTTTTTAGTCTGTGCCAAAAATAATGACCCATTTACTTATTTGGAAAAAATTTACCTTTGCAATGATTTATAGCCACACAAAGTATTTGTGCCTCATTTTACACCACAAGTTCCAAAGTCTTTTCTTTTTTCTTAAACTCCTTGCCCAGTCAAATAAGTTCATTTAAATTAAAATGGAGTATATAAATAGTAGTCCATGTTACAGTTAATAGATAAAGAAAGCTTTGCAAGCAGTAGAAAGACCTGCATGACCATTTGCAACAGATGCATACAGGTAATGGTACTTGACAGCCATCCACTATTAGCACAAATATCTATCATGGCCTGAATAACACGTATACTTTGATCCAGCACAGACTTCAAGTCTGTGACATAATCGCTGATTGGTAGCTCTGATTGGGAAAAATGAGCCTGCAAAACAGTGACATGTTTAAGGAAAAAGAACAAAAAAATTATTATTATCACATGGAAATAACACCCCCACCCCAGTGACGAGAGAGAAATGAACAGAAAACATCCTGTTGATGTTAAATAGAAACTAGCAGCCAAAAGCCAGAACCCCTACCTGAAAGAGCAAATTTGCTTTCACATGAGGGTCATCTAGGCGACTGTGGTCGACAGCATATGGAACTTTCTCTGATAATTTTTCATTGTAGTTTTCCTGGTATAGGGAAAAATAAGCAGACAATGAGTACAATAGACCAGTAAAGAAGCAGTTGATGCATAGTTTTGAAATTTCAAATCCACGGGCCATTTCTTAACAGAATGTACATACTACTTTTGGTTTGTAGATCAAATAATTTACAAATGTCAGCAACAAACAGGACAAGCAATGTTCTTAGCCTACTTGTCAAAACAAGCAAGTTATATACAAGTAAGGCAACAATAAAAGCAATTGAATGAGTTGAAAAGCAACAAATTGTTCAGAAACAACTTCCGTCAAATATATATGTTCAGAAAATTACCTCATTATGCCTCACGGGGAGCTCATCGTATTCTGAAGCACCAGATAGTATTTGTAGGAAAACCTAAAGTAAAAGATAAACAGGAATACCAAGAAATATATTTAATCTATGTATGCGTAAAATCATTTAAGACAAAGAAATAAGCTTTGAACATCCACGTTAGGTGTTCTACGAACCTCGAGAGATGTATCAGGTCCTATTTTTGAGCCAAACATTGATACAGTGGTGTACTTGAGATAATATTGAGATGCTATTGAGCCCAACATCAGTGGTTCGACACTATCGTCAGTAATCTTGATGCATCCACTATCTTCTAGATCCTCAAATGTGCTTTGCACCAAGCTGCTTAAAAAATAAGGTGAGTACAAACAGAAATATCCTAGAAATTCTATTTCAAGAGTATGTAGTGCTTTCATTTTACCTAGACAAATAAGAATTTAGAATCCCAGGTTCTGCAACCTCTAAGCCATAATAAGCTGGGTTAACCATCTGCCATAAAAAACTCTGTGATTGGCAAACATAATAACTTGCAGGGAAAGAGTAGTACATCATTTTTTTTTATAGTTCTTCAAACATAGAAGATAGTCTTAAAAACATCATCTTACTCAAAAAAAAAAAACATCATTTATCAATAGTGATGCATTAGTAGATTGAAGCGAAAATGTAATTTCCTGTCATTCATTTTATTTAAGTGTCATGTCATCTCTCCTTTATCTTTTATTTTATTTTATTTTGTTTTCTGGTAACATCCTTTTTTTTTTACCCCCATTCCCTTCCCAGGGACCATCGTGCCCTCCTACTGTTCCCTCTTGGTGTCTCGAACCACAAATCTAATGGTGGGAGATAGAGGGGGCCTTCACTAGGGTAAGACTTTGAACCAAATTCCGATTATGCCCCACAGCGACTCCCCACAAATCAAGTAAATTTCTGTTCACTGCAAAGGGCATCTAAACAGGCAGTATACAGAAATGTAACTATTCTCTTGTCCTTTTGCATGAGATGGAACATACTACACATGCAACATCCAACTGGAGAGGCGGAAGGATGCAATGAGTAGTACTCTAGTTTTGATTCTAAAATAACCTTATCATTTGTAAAAAACTAATAAAACTTGCCGCAGCCCAAAACACAAGGTCTATCTAGTTAAATAATTAATAAACAGGTCTCTTCATACTGATTTTCTCCAGGAAATAACATACAGAGTAGGCAATGGCTCTCATGTAAAATTCTGGGAGGACAGATGGATTGGTAACACAACACTGAGAGAATCATATCCTGGGTTGTATCAGATAGCTAGTCATCAGAATTCATTGGTTGCTCACAACAGGGAGGGGAACACTTGGAATCCTCTATTCAGAAGAAACCTCCAAGACTGGGAAATTAATGATCTGCTTCTACTATTATCCACATTGGAAGAATGCAAAATTGAAGAGCATCAACCTGACAGACTCATCTGGGGCAACTCAATAGGAGGAAAGTACACAGTCAGGCTATAACCTCTATGTTCACAGAATGGGATGCTTGAGGGCTGGCCTTGGAAACAAGTCTGGAGGACTAGACAACCACTCAAAGTATCTTGCTTCACCTGGTTAGCTCTCAGAGAAGCTTGCTTAACACAAGATAACCTAAGAAGAAGAGGTATTGTACTAGCTAACAGATGCTATCAATGCCAGCAAAACTCAGAGAGTGTCAACCATTTGTTTCTTCATTGCCC